TCAGGGGACCCAAGTGGCCTCTGCAAGGGTGATGCGTGGGGGACACATGCGGCATGTGCACGGATGTGTGTGTAATGCCTGCAGTGGATGCCAGTGCAGGGCTGGGGTGTGCGCAGGGGATGCGTTGTGTGTACAGGGATGTGTGTAATGCATGCAGGGGACGCCAGGCAGGCTGTGTGTGCACAACAGTGCGGCCCGGGGTGGGTCTGCGCACAGGGGACCCCTGCAACACAGGCAGCGATGCATGTGCAAGGCGCACGTGTGCAAGGCATGTGGGGCTGTGTGAGCTGCAGGTGTCTGCGCAGGGCTGTGCAACGTGCCAGAGGTGTGCGTGCAGGGGACACATGGGGGGGTGCGAGGGGGCGTACCATGTGCTGGGGGCTGTGCCGGCGTGTGCCAGTGGGGACGGGCAGCCCCTTACCTTTGAACATGGGGCTGACCCTCCAGACGCCAAGGCAGCCCTGGCTGGCGAACTGCCCAAAGGAGAGCTCCATGAAGAAGAGGGGGATGCCGCAAAACACCAGCATGATGAAGTAGGGGAACATGAAGGCACCTGGCAGGCAGGAACCAGAGGGTGAGAGCAGGCAACAACCCTGGGCACAGCCTTGCCCCCCCCTCGTGCACCTGGGGCCAGGTGCACACCCCCACCCTGCCCCAGGCACCCGGCTCCCCCAGCTCCCCGACACCCACCTCCCCCATTGCGGTAGCAGAGGTACGGGAAGCGCCAGACGTTGCCCAGCCCCACGGCGTAGCCCACGCTGGTCAGCACGAACTCGATCTGGTTGCCCCAGTTGCCACGCTTGACGCTCTTGTCCTGCTTGCCCCGCTCCCCGGGCACAGCGCCATTCTGTGGAAAGATGCCGTGGGGCGCATCAACTGGAGACCCCCCCCATCGGCCCCATTGGAGGGGCGATGGCCGCCGAGCGGGGCTGGGTGGTCCCCTGCATCCTGCCCCATCCCTCCCCCATGCTAGCCCCCCTCGCCTCACCATGCACAGGCAGTGCCAAGGAGAGGGGAGGGCAGCGGTGGCAGCCCCCCCGATGAATAGCTCTGCCTGGAGCCCGGCTGCAGCGAAGGAAGAGCCTGCAACTCATACAAAGCAGGTCCAGGCGCCCGAGCACAAAGGGGCCTCTGTTCCCGCGCGCCCCCCCTCCCCGTGCCCAGCAACAGAGGCCCCGCTGGGTGGCCGCTGCCCACAGCTGGGGGGAAATGGTGGGACCCCCAAGGTGAAGCAGGGGCCCCCCTCAGTAGGGAGTGGGGTGCAGTGACTAGAGCAGGCAGGGGGGGCTGGGTGCCCCCCCCGGGAAAGGCACCCTGCTGCAGCTGGGGTCCTGCTGCCGGCTCAGCGCCCAGCGAGGGCACCATGCTTGCTTGGGGCAGCTTGGTGGGGGGGGTCCCTGCAGGTGGGTCCCCTGGGGACAGCCCCAGCACCCAGCTGTCCCTCACCGCAGGGGACCTGGGGAGGGGCCAGATGGGGGCAAGAAAGGGCGCTTTGTGCAGGCTGCCATACAATGCAAGCTCACACCAGGGACAACAACAACAACAGAGACGGGTGCCCGTCGCCCCCGACGGAGATGGCACCCATCACTCCATGGCTCCGTCCCAGTGTGGCCCTGGGCTCACATTAATATCCTGCCTGGATGCTGCCAAGCTCCAGCAGGTTGGGCTGAGGGCAGATGGCATTTTGGGGTGCCGTGGGTGCCCTGAGCCCTCCCATCCCCACCCAAGGCCAGGTGATGGGTGCATGGGATGAGGGTGCTGGTCAGTCCATGGCCCCACAGCACCCATGGCCCTATGGGAGCAGCATGGGGTGCCGGCAGCCCAAGGAAGATGCCAGAGCGCCATGGTGCTAGTCTTCCCACCACGGACACCCCCGTGCCCATGCCCGCTCACACTGCTCCCCCCCACTATGCCCCCCTGCCCCGTGCACCCCCCGTGATGGCTGATGTGGGCAGCGAGTGAGCCACAAATGGGAGCCATCGCTTCGGATCAGCTCACGCCGGCGGGGCGCGGGCCGCAGGCGCGGTGCACCTCACCGTATCATTCGATTAGGGCCGGCACAGCCGGGACGTGATGCCCGGTGACTCCGGCACCGCGCTGCCAAACAAAGCCATCTGCTGCAAGCGGGGCCCGCACGCGCCGGGGGCCGGGGGGCGGGGGGGGCTGCTGGGGCACAGGGCTGGAGGAGAGGGGTGATGGGGGGATCGGTGGGCGCTTTGGGCAGGGCTATAGGAACTATAGGGGCAATATGCCAGCCGTGCCCAGCCAGGGCACCAGGGTGCCCATGCCAGACCCCCATGGGCAAAATCTCCATCAGAAATGAGCTTACACCAACCGCAGGTGCTGGGGGAGCCCCCCCCAGGGGAGGCTCTTATTGTGGGGTGCTGAGCAGGAGCAGGGCTGAGAGGTCCCCAAGGTGGGGCAGAAGCTGGCACTGTCCCCATGCTGGGGAACGCTGCCCGCTTGAGCAGGCTGATCTGATCAGGAAGACTCTGATTAAGCTGCTCGCACTAATGAGGCTCTTAATGAGCAGCACAGCTGGCAGAGGGGAGGCAGTGCTCCAGCCTCCCTGGCAAAGGGTCTGGGGGGGGACAGGATGACACTGCATGGCCCCTACTCAGCCTGGAGCCCCGGTACCCAAAGGGGACCTCATCCCTGTCCCAAAGCCAAAGGGCCACCCCTCTGCTCAGGTGACCCTGACATGGCTTCACCCGCAGGCCCAATGGGGCACCCCAGCTCTGAGCCTCCTGGCACCAGTGTAACAAGAGCGCCAGGCCTCTGCTGCCCGTCCCCCCTTTCCTGCAGTGCAGGGCTTTAGCGTGCTTGTCCCCAGTAACGGGGCAGCCACATGTGTGCCCATGCATGCACAAGCACACGCACGTGCGCACACGCTTGCCTGCTCACCCCTCAGCTTGCTACAACCCCCCCCCCATCCCCAAATCTGGGAAGGTCGCCCCGTCCTTTACACTCATTAACCACCCTCCCAAACCCTCATGGTAAAAGAGAGGGGGACATCTCTTTTAAAAGAGAGCCCAGGCATCCGGGAAAATGAGACCCCCGCCCTCCCCACTGTGGGGATGGGATAGAGCTGGGCTGCAAAGGGGGAGCTACCCCCCAGCAAGGATGCAGCCTCTGTGTGTGTGTGTGGGGGGTCCTTATCCCACTCCCCAAATTTTCCATGCATGTGCTCCCATGCAGCCCCAAAAGATGCCTGGCTTGGGTGTAAACATCAGGGGGGAGGAAGGATGCCCCGGGCACCCCGAACGTCCCCAGAACATTCAGGGTGCCCGGGGCATCCTTCCTCCCCCTTCCCCAGGGACCACCCTCCCACCACCACATGGCCAAAGATTCCCCAGCCCAGCAGAGCAAGCATCATCCATCACGCCACCTGGCACCGGAGCCTTTCTCATGCTAAGCAGCATCGCCTTGCACAATGACAGCTTGGCTGGGGTGCCCGGATACCCCCCACTTCCCGAAGGAGCCCTGATTTATGGCTGGGAAGCTCATGGCAGTGGTGGGGTCGATGCTGGGAGGGGATGTCCCCATGGGAGGCATATCCAGCATTGTCTCCCCCTTCTTCCCCACTCAAACTGCCCCCACGGAGGTATTTCAGCCCAGCAGAAGCACACCGTGGAGCATCAGCCTTATCCAGCCTCCCCTGAACCAGTGAGGGACCCCCAATTCCTTCCCCAGCCTCCTAATGGGGTGCCAGGGCTGCTCCTGCAATGCCAATGCAGGGTACCAGTCAGGCCCTGATGTCATCAGCCTCATGTCATTGCTCTTCACCATGGCAATGGTGATGCAATCATGGCTGGACCAGGCAGGGGCTACCAGAAAGCATAAATATATGCTAAGTACATAATTTGCCAAAATAGCAGCTCTTCTAGGGCAGGGAAGTGGGGTGCAGGGTGCCTGGGGCAGGGAAACCCCAGCCTGGGGTAGGGGTCCCTGGGGATGGAGGGATGGGGTGACTTGGAAAGGGCTCCCCAGGCATGGGGTGACTTAAAGAGGGGTGTCCCAGGTGCCTTCACCGTCCGGCCACAGCTCCTGGGTGCTGCAGTGCGGGGGGGGGTGTGGGGGTGGAGGGGTGCCCCTGTAACCAGCCCCCACACTCCCTGCCCCTGGCACATGGGGTGATGAACCCAGAAGTGCCAGCCCCGTGCCAGGGGCTGCCATGCCCTCCCAGCCTGCTTGTCCTGGCTCTACCAGACCCACCGGCACATCCCAGCCATCCCTGCCCCCTGCGGTGCCCAGCCCTGTGTTTGCCCCTGCCCCGCTGTGGCAGAGGCATGGCATGGGGTCACAGGCACCTGGCACAGTCTGGGCAGTGGCAGCAGGGAGGCTGCCCAGCCCCACTGACAGCCCAGAGCGTGCTCTGCCAGACACCTGCAGCAGCACCAGCCCTGGCCCTGGGGTGCCACAGGGTGCCAGGGCAAACTTTGACATTGCTTGCTGATGCCAATGAAATGGAGGGGGCAGAAGGGGGGGAGTCTTAGCTAGACTCTGCCCCTCCAGGACTGAGCAAGGCAAAGGGGTGCCATACACCCCTCTTGCAATCAGTAGGTTCCAGAGTTAATGAACACATAACTGTCAGGCAATATCTTGCTCCCAGCACAGCTGAGGCCATGGAGGGGCTTGGTGCCGCACTGTGCCCTCCCTCCCCAGGGCACCCCACATCCCTGGCTGTGGAGCTTGGGGGTGCCTCCCTAGCGTCCCACAGCGCAGAGCTGCAGCTGCGCCTCAGTCCCGCAGAGCCATCGCTCCAGAGCCAGCACAAAGGGGCTTGGAGAGCCATGGCGGTGGGGAGACGGTGCTGGCACAGCCCCCATCCAGCCCAGCCCCCCACTTTGCCCCCCAAACCCTGCTCTCACCTCCCCACTGACCTGCTGAGGGGGCCTGGGGGGGCCCAGCTGCCCGTGGCCGCCATCCGGGGGGCCAGGCTGGCCGGCTCGGCGAGTCCCCAGCTTCATTGGCACCTCAGGCTCCAGCACAGCAGCCGCCCGCCCGCCTGCCCCTGCCCGCTGCCTCCCGCGCTGGCCCGGCCTGCCCGGCCCGCCGGGTCCCCAGCTTCATTGGCCCCTCAGGCTCCAGCACAGCAGCCGCCCGCCCGCCTCCCCCCGCCCGCTGCCTCCAGCGCTTGGCACTGCTCCCCGCTCGCCTCCCAGCCAGGCTCAGCCCCTTGCCACCCGCCTCACCATGGCACTGGCACCCCACCACACCGCCTGCCCCGGCAGCATCCCTGCCTGCCCCACGCCATGGGGAACCCCCGTGCCTCAGTTTCCCCCCAGACAAGCTGCGCCCCCACAAGTCAGGCATTCCCCCCATAGCACGCTCAGGCAGGGCAGGCTGCACAACGGTCTGAGCCCCGTCCTGCTTAATGAGGCCTCATTAGCGGGGTCCAGCTGCTCGCAGCCCTGCACGCTCTGGCAGGCAGCGCTGCCCTCCCTGCGGGCACCGCTGCCTGTCTGGCTGGGATGGGGACCTGCATTTGGAGTGTGGCAGGGGGCCGTGTCCCCTCCGTGCCCCCCCT